TGCAGCACAGTTTTGTTATAATACAGCAGAAAAGGGCAAAGCTTCTTCTTTTGACTGGCAGAAAGTGGTTCAGAAACGCCGGTAATTTTCCAGAAGGTCGTTGCCAAGTTTGCAGTCTTTCAAATTGCAAAAGGTTGTTACATTTAGCGACGAGGAATTAAAGGCTGCAGAAGCATCTATCTAAGAAGCAGCTGAACCACTCAGGGAACAGACGGCAGGCCTGATACTCATCTTGATGCTATTCATCAGGGCAGGCCGAGCTCCAGCGAGCGCCCACCCCACCTCCTCCGGCAAAGGAGCTGCCTTCCCATCAACATTCATCGCCGCCAATTCTGAGAAGACGCTTTGCTGACCTACGGGCCATGTCTTTTTTCTTCTTTTCCCCTCAAAGAACATGCTCTCCTTTGCAGCTTGGTGGAGAAATAATTGATCCTCTGGTGCTCTTCCTGGGAAAGCGTCCGTCAATACGAGCGTAACTGCACATGACACGGAAAGGCGTGCCGTGAACACCTAATGGCCCTCATCCATCAGGGGACAAGCGGAGGAAATTAAGAGCACACGAGCTGAAAGCGCTTGGATAGGTCTGCCTGAGCAGGGCACCGGCAAACAGACAGCACAGTGATCCCCTGCTAGAAGTACGAACCAGCGGGGCACCCCGCCTGCCTGTCTTGGGGAAGTGCCTAAGAAGCCAGTTAGCTGAGCACCCAGTTTTAAACCCCTCCCAAGTGCTGAGTGAATGTCAAAGAAAACTTCTTAAATGTTTATTTCCTTCTGGTTTGGAATTGTATGTATAGATGTGCCCCTGAAGAATAGAATAGCACCGTGCGAATGAATAAGCGCCGGGCTTTGGGCACAGAACGGATGTGTTCTTCTTGATTGCACCACCCAGCACCGGAAGGAGGGAGGGCGGACAAGCCCCAGAGCAGCCACGCCAGCTAGCAGGCAGGGCCTGGAGCAGCGAGCTCCAAGACGAGGCGGCGGGGAGGGCCTCCGATGCCGGGGGAGAGCTGGCAGCGTTCAGCTCAGTAGTAACAGAGCAAGAGAAGGAAGCCGGAGTAGGAAGCAACACTGCAGCTGCAGAGATCCGGGTCAGGGGGCAGCCGGGGGGCAGCACAGCAGCCTAGGAGGGGCCCTCTGATGATGGCCCACGAGCATCAGAGTCAGCCCCTTGCCCGGAACTGCCAGCACTGATGGCGAGTGGCTCTCCAGGGCGGCAGGCAGGAGTATTTCCGGCCCCACCTGGTGCCACCAGGTGGCCTATGACAGGCCACACTGTCTGGCCACTCGTGCCCCGGAGGAGGGAAACGGCGTCGCTGGGTCAGACCAATCTAGTGCTGTGTCTTACGTCCAGCTGCTCCAGCCAGCCGTTGTCTCCGGGAAGCCTGAAGTCAGTCGTGAGGGGGATGGCCCTCCTCCCCCACCTGCCCCAGGCACGTCCAGAGCTAGGGTGCCTCCGGCTGCCTCCTCTTCATCACGAGCCTGTCAGGTCTGCTTCTGAGTCCCCCAGCCAGGGGTCATCCACTTATCTCGTGCCACCAGGCCGACGTTTCCTGCGGAGACGAAGTGCTTTCACGGCGCATCTGTCTGTCCCGTGCAGATATGAACGGATGGCAAATAGATTACAATCGGTGCTGAGCTGTTGCTCTGAGGGGAGAAAATACTTGTGCTGCTGCAGAAAGCCAGTTGTTGATCTGATCTGTATTCTGCAGAGCTCCTCTCCTTTGGAGGGGCAAAGACACAATTATCCATTTTGGCTAATTTGGCAGATGCTTCAGAATATAAAAGCCCTACATTCCCCAGCCGTGCCTTCTGCCGTTTTATGTATCCTATTAATGTAGATTCTTTACTGGAATGAATGCAGCCAGTACTTCATTAGGTGGCACTATTGAATTATCTGCAGTAATTGAGCTGAGCTTTAAAAGGAAGAGTTCTTTGGGAGCAAGGGGCTGGGAGCAGGTCTCCCCTCCCCCATTGGAAAACGGAAACATCGCCATTTAAGACGAAACAGTGGTGCTTGTTTCAGCATCCTCTAAGAGACACTTTGTCCCATGGAGTTCTTCCAACAGCTGATCACCTGCAAAAGGGAGCGGCTCCACTTGCCCCAGAATACAGCTGGTCTGCCTCCCTTCAGTACATTTTAGAGGCTAACTATCCTTTTTAAGGGACTGCAGGTGGCGCCGTGGTTTAAACAGTGTGGTGTAGTGGTTAAGAGCATGGGACTGGGACTCAGGCGACCTGGGTTCGAGTCCCCGCTCAGCCATGGAGCCAACTGGGTGACTTTGGGCCAGTCACAGACTCTCAGCCCAACCTACCTCACAGGGTTGTTGTTGTGGGGATAAGATGGAGGAGGAGAATGATGTAAGCTGCCTTGAGCCCTTTGTAGGAAAAAGGCAGGATATAAATTGCAATATAAAATAAATAAATAAATAAATAAACTGCTGTGCTGCTGGGCTGGTTGATCGAAAGGTCGCCAGTTTGAATCTGTACAATGGGGTGAGTTCTCGTTGCTCCATCCCAGTTCCTGCCAGCCTTGCAGTTTGAAAGCATGCAAATGCAAGTAGAGAAAAAGGTACCACTTCAGTGGGCAGGTAGCAGCGTTCTGTGCATTTCGGTGTTTAGTCATGCCAGCCACACGACCACGGAGACTGTCTGCGGACAAAAGCTGGCTCCCTCGGCTCGGAAACGGAGATGTGCACCGCCCCCTGGAGTCAGGCATGACTGGACGTAACGTCAAGGGGAAACCTTTACCTTATCCTTTTTAAGGCCAGAAAACCAGATCTCCATGAAAAGAAAGGAGAAGCCAGCTGCCCAGTCTCCATGCTTTCAAATGCAGGTGCCAAACAAATCCTTCATCCCAGGTGGGAAGGAGACAAAGCCTTCTTTGCGTTGCCCTGGATTTTACAGGTGGAAAAGCTCTGAGCGAGACTGAGGATGGCAAAGAGGAGCTTGCACATGGAAACAAAGGTTGCAAATTGTGGGGCACCTTAAATTCTTCTGTGAAAGGCAGGACATTTTGGGCTGATGGTTCTCACCAAGGAACCAGCTGCACAGTGGAAATGCAGGCAGGTCTCATGTGCAGAATACGAACCTTCCTTCCTACCGAGGAGCCCAATTTCCCAAGGTGGGTGAGCTGAGCAAAAAGACGCAGAGCTTTTCTACAAGAGGGTGCTACCTGGCAGATAATCGGTTGTATCAACTTTTGGGTTTGTCGTAGCCTGAGACCTGAGCACTACAAGAGGAGCATTTCCTTTCCTGCTTTTTTTTATTACTATTATTATTATTATTATAACATTTCTATGCCGCCCCTTGCCGAAGCCTCGGGGCGGCTTACAACACAATAAAATACATTGAAATACAATAGAACATAATAAATTACCATTAAATACAAAAATACAAAAAATACACTGAGTTTCAAACATAATAATATAAAATTAAAAATGACAGTATAAAATAAGTAAATAAATAATATAGGAGGAGAAAAGGGAAGGAAGAAGTTGCCCTGGCCAGATCATATATTCAGCAACATAACCTCAAGGGGGCGCTGTGGGGTAGTGGAATAGCATGAATACTCCAGAGAAAACTGTGCTTCTTTCACTGTCATGATTAAACACTGCATTTTCCATGTGGGGAAAAAAGAGAATTGGCTAAAAGGGCTGGTTAAACAGAAAGTGAAACGCGATGGTCACAATGCCATCTAAAGAACCCACAAGCCACAGTCGGTAGGGATGATGAGTGTACAAAATGCTCCATTCTTCCCATACTGGACAAGGGGTCACCCTCAGCTGGGAGCTCAGAGAAACACAGAAACAGAGCGAGTCAGAAGGGGCCTCCCGGGCCATCTAGTCTGACCTCTGGCTCCCGCCGGCTCCGCTCACAACATGCCCACCATGTGCACGTCCAGCCTATCCTTGAACACCCTCTCCGATGGGGCCTCAACCACCTCCCGGGGGAGCCCATTCCACACCCTCGGGGTCCCAACTGTCAGGAAGTGACCAAGGCACCAACCGTTTCCTCCCCTGCGCCCTGAGAAGTTATCCTGCCCATTGCAAGATGCTGGCTGTGCAGTAGGAATAGAAGAATCACTCTTTCTTTAGAATCTTTTCCCAATATAGGTAATTTATGTGTGACTTTTACATGTTTCTAAGGAGTTTTAGAGCTGAGACTTGCAGGGCAGAATCCAGAGGAATACCCAGGCTGAAGAATAATAGCATTCCCACCTCCACACTATCCCAGAAATGATGGTTAGTTTGGTTCACTTAAAAGCACAGACCAGGACAAATTATTTCCAGTCCATGCGGAGTGAAGAGCAGCACCTGTGCCAGTCCCAATCAGGCAGGATTATTAATTACATTTATGTGTTGCATCCCACTGCAAAAACAGCCTCAAACTGACTTAGACACACAAATCCGTAACTCCTTTCGCAGAAACCGCCCACAATCAATACAAACCATGAACAGCACAGCCATACATAGAAAACTAGCCAAAGCAATAGAATAGAAAAAGGGGTCGCATGCCATCTCCCTGCTCCCCCACTTTACAATTAACAGCACCAAAGCCGTCCACCAGAATCTGGCTATAAAGTTGTCTTTGCCTCATGCTCTGACTCTGGCAAACTCTGTGCCCATGGAGTTTCTCACCCATTGCAGCCATTCTGCATTAGCTTTATAAGAGCCACCCATGGGGCCAAACTCTACCCCACTCCCACAGGTTCGCAACTATCTACCTTCCATAAAGCTCAGAGTAAAAGCTGCCACGCATGAGGAGTCCTGCTGGGCAGGAGTCATTCGGCTCCCCTGCCTTGACCTAGACGATCAGAGGGGAGGCGCCTTCATGGGCCAAAGCTTCCCTTTGCACGGGACTGTGGAATCAGAACCACTGAAAGAATATGCTGCAATCCTAAAAGTGATATGACTCCACTGGTTTCCTCTTCCTTATTGCTGTTGGATCCTACAGACCTTCCTTGCATCTGTGTCTATCAGGAGCTATTTTGACCATCTCACCTTCCCATCAGTGGTCACAGCGGCAAAGACGGTGGAAGAATAGGGAGCCCAGGCAACGTCGCCAACGGCAGAATTCAGGTCATAGATGAACATGGGAGTCCTGCGAACAAAAGAACTTGGCTGTCAGGAGAGAGCCGTGGCATTTCCCAAAGACCGGAGACTAAATCCTGCAGCGTGTGTAAGAGCAAGAAGCAAGGCAGGAGCAAGCTCAGACTTGTTAAGGGAGGCAGGCCAGCAAAGCGCACAAAAGCAATTTAGGCAAGGAAACAGGTGGAGGGGAGACACACACCGAAAGCAGAAACTGATGAACAGCAGTGCCCCGGGAAGTGTCACCCATCGCGACAGTCCCTGTAGCCACATCCCCATGGAGAGTCCGAAACTGAGGGCAACCGTGTTGATCCGTATCAACGGAGCAGTTCTAGCAACTTTCCTCTCCGCCATGAGCAAGTCTTCTGTTAAACTAATAGGTCTTCGCAGCTTATCCAAGACCAAGTCCCCCCAAAAACTTTGAGCTACACATCAGGAAACAGCTGTGTAGCTGGGAAATCCATTTCCCTCCTGCTACAGTGAGGAAGCAGGGAGGCCTGTGAAAGGTACGAGTCGTGGCTGATTTCAGTACCCCTGCCAACAGGAGAGTGGGGGCGCTGCACCCCGCAAGCCCCAGCTCCCCTTCATCACTGCTGACAAAAGCCCCAGGTAGATTCCCGCCAGCAGGAGGCCCAGGAGCTGTCCTTTCCTGCTTCCTTTGTTTTCTCCTAAGGCCCTCCAGTCCGGGGGGGGGGAGGGGGGGGCAGCCAGATCACCTTCACCTGCAACCCTCTCCAGACCAGGAGGAAAGTGGGGCAAGGAAAAGCTTCTTTACCAGCTCCCCAAGTGGCTGCGCACCTCCCAGCCTGAGAATCGGGTCCCAAGACCGTGCGTCTCTTGCACTGTGTGTGAACCTAGTTTCTCCTAGTTGACACCCCCGGGGGACCGTGAGGGCTCCTCTGGGATCAGGGACCCTTCCTCTGGCCTCCCCTTCCCCCCAAGCATCCCACGAGTGAGAGGCTTCGTGTGCAGCTGCCACTTGAAGTGCATGGGGAGGAACAGCTGTGGTTGGCCCACAGCCATGGAGAACGGCAACCCAACCTTGCCTCATACCCCGGTGGGCATGACCCACAACCGCCCCCCAGCACACGCAGCAAAGAGTGGATTGTGCGGAAGCGTCCTACTTGATGGTGTGGTCCCAGATCTTCACAGTCCAGTCCGAGCTGCAGGAAATGAACACCTTGGTGTGGAAGGGGTTCCAGCTCACGGCATCGACCGCCATGTGGTGGGCGTGGAAGATGTCCAGAAACTGGCTGGAGTAGGACTTGGAACACTGCCAAGAGACAGAGTCAGTGCCCACCGTGTGCCCTGGGTGCCAGCCCCTCTCCTCTCCTCTCCTCACCCCCGCAGGAACTGCCGGCTGCTGAACATGCCGCATTTCTCCCGGATGCGAATGTTCACTTAACACACGCTGGCTGCTTTATCCCTTGCTGGCACACGGTTAGGAGCCCGCTCACCCCTGTAATTCCCATACCCTCCGCACGGCGATTCTGAATCCAGTAAGTGAAATTGGGCTTCGTGGAAGTATTTTTGGAGCGGAGCTGTTTTCTGAGTGCTCATTTTCAGTCACATGAGGAATTTCTATTCCTTGGCAGATGCCAGAACAAACTGATAGATAAAATGGAAATTATCTGGGGTTCCGGAATACGCAAGGACAAATGACACAGCTTTTGTGGCTTTTAACAGTGTGCTCCATGGTTGTACAGGAAATTGAATTACGGCAATCGATGGGATGGGATGGGCCCCATTCCTTATGGGCTGGTCCCTGGGACAGAATAACAAAGCCACTCTCCTGGGTTTAATTTTAGGGTAAAGACATCCAAGCTTGCATGCACTGGTCACTTACAGCCGTGCTAAAGTCAACATACCGGCTAAACTGACGCAGATCCTGGTTCAGCTGATACACGCCTAACTACTATACAACCACAGGCAGAAAGAAAATTCTCGTGAAAGGCACTGTCTCCGGAAGGACAGCTGTGCCAGAAAGTAAAATTATTAAATGTTGACTGTGAGATATCCTAGGGACTTCTAGATAAGCCACTCTTCCCGGCTAAATTGCTGCAGTTCGGATGGCAGATTAGTCTCACCAGGCATGTGGGTTGTTCCAATGCCACTGAAATTTTATAATGTGCAGGTGTAGAATCCTTCTGGGAGACCAAGCTATCGGCCCGGCAGGTAATTATATCGCTGGAAGTGCATCCGTGAAGCCACCACATTCCCTCATGGGCAAGCATTCCTAAAAGCAAGCATCAGGACTGCTCCTGCACTCCGCTTCTTTTCCAGCCGTGAAGAGATGCGCAAGCCAGGAGCAATTTAACAGAAGAGAGAGGTCTGACTGGGACAAGTGGAGAAGAACGGTTTTCTCAGCCCGGGCATCGCACGCCAAGACACCTGCGGGACCAGGCTCAGAACGCCAACAGAGAACCGCCGCACCAAAATGACGGCAGCAGCTAATTCATCAGGTGCAGCACTGTGCCTGTTTCGGAAACTACTTTTGCTAACAGTGAGGGCTTTACCAGTGTCAGTCTGTTGTACTGTCTGAACCCACTAATGGTATTTCACCATGGTAAGTTTAGTCCTTAGAAACCATGGTAAGAAACAACACTTTATTCGATGGCTTCTCTCTACCAACGTGGATCGTTGTGCTGTCTCAGGCCTGGTATGCAACTGCCGCAGAGCCCTCTGGAGAGGGTGGCGACCACAGGAGTCACTCCAGACATCCACCTCTGTGTATGCGTCCCTGAGGAAAGAGCAGCTGACATAGGCAGGGATTGATGCCAACCGTGAGAGGACTGAGCATGGGGGATGGAAACCATGGTGAAACTGAAACCCCTCGATTGGCTGTCAAGTAGGAAAACCATGAATCTCGGCAGCCATCCAGGGTTGCTTGCTGTGTTGTGTGAACATGGCCAATGTGAATGCAGAGGTGATGGGGGGGGCAAGGAGTAGAGGGGTGCAAGCTGATGGAGGGGGCACTCATCTCTGTTGCAAGGGCCCCTCCACCCCAACTTTGCCGCACCGGAAAAAAGGGAGCAGCTGGGAGTGAGCAGGCACAGAAGAGATGAGGGACAGGAAAGAGCTGTCTGGGGAGAAGTGGCTTCAAGCATCACTGCTGGGGTGGTTTACCCAGCAGATGGAAGATGCCAGAATGGCAAGTGATCTTTACCTGCAGCACTTCTCACCTGGCCTGTCATGAGCCATGCCTTTGCACTTCCAAAACACACAGGGTTCTTTGGCAAAAGCTCCTTATTGTCCAGTGTGCTTCTCAGTTGAACCCAATCTAAAAACCACTTCCCAGCGTTCTCCTGTTCAACAGCCCCGGCCCCTCCACCCGGGATGCCCTCTTTGGAGGTGGGCAGCCCGTTCTCCATCTGTCACCCCTCTAACTGGTCGGCTGTTGCCCCACGGGGTCAAGAGCCGTGCCAGGCTCAGCTGGAGGCTGGAGTCGTCGTCCCCGTGCCACCCCCCCACAGCCGTAAACCCTGGCTCTTCTCACTGTCCTCCTGAGCGGCTTCTCTGCTCCTGCCATTTCAGCGTTGGAGCATTCTGGTTCCCAGGAGCCCTTCCAAGGTCCTGACCTGCCCGACCTGGGAGCAGCGCCACGGATAACGGTCCCTTTCATTGCCAACACGGCCAATCAAAGTGACCGCGCAGGATGGGGTGGGGAATGGCGGCGGCGGCAGCATAGGCCGGGGTGGGTGGAGGCAGCCCAGGCGCTGCTCTCGCACTCGGCCTCTGCCATTTTCTGTTGCCGTGTGTGAGGCACCACGACCCTCGGCGGCATTTCCTCGCATGAAATCCAGTTCGGGAGAGGCCCTTTCCTGCTTACAGATCCTGCCCGTTTGGTCACTCCATGTTGATGGTGGCTGGGAAAACTGGTGATGAATTAACTGCCTTGGAATAGCTTTTCTTATGCATTTAATTAACAGGGGTGTATACACTGCTCATAGTTCATGAGCTTTCTTAATTTCGCTGCTTGTTCTGGGGGCAGGGAGAGGGGAGCAAGGACGTCAATTCCCGACAGACCTGCATGTTTCCTTGACGCAGGGAAAATTCCAGGGCCCAGGAAGTAGCAGGAACAGGCAGAAGTCCCCGTGGTTGCCTTCTCCCCCATCCATGGAAAGGGCACCGGCGAGCTCGTGGCAACCCGTGCGCAATAGCTCTCTGGCTGGGTGAGCTGCTCCTCGTTTGCTTGCCGGCCGAGCGACAAGGGCCGATATTGCTCAGCCCCTTGGGCTAAACCAGGGCAGAGTCAGAGGCCGAACCACGAATGCCCACGTTCGTCCACCGTCCTGCAGAGCTGCCGCCTCCCACTCCTACTCCCGGTTCCCACAGCAGTCAAGTCACTTCTTGGCCACGCAATCAAGACAGGCAGCAGGCGTGGCAGCTGCATGTCCATGTTAACGCAGAAACAATTTATCTGCAGGGAAGGGCCTGGGCATAATTAAGATAATGACTTCTTGGCTTCCCAAATGCTATTAACTGAGCTACTTTCTGAAATTTGATGCAATTGTTCTGCAGCTAAAAATTAACACGCTATCGGGCTGATGGAGAAAAGCTTTAAAAGGCAACAGCCCTCCCTTAATAACAGATGAGCACACAAGCGTGGCTTTGGTCGCGGCGCCTCATCCTTGGACCCTCTGAAAAGCTTTGCCTGCTGACGGGCAGGTTTGCAGGATGCCGCAAGTTGCAGGCATAACGGACTATGCAGAGCGGCTTCTGTGCAGGAGCACCTGCTTTCTGGCCCCGGGGATGCATTCCCCTCCCTTCCCCTCCCTCGCACCGAGCGGGGGCACGGCCTGTGCAGCAGAATCGGGGCCCTGAGTTCACCAGCTCGTCCCTTGTTGACCCAGGGCGGTGGCGGTGGCTGCTGCATCGCTGCCTTTTCCCCACTGGTCCGCTCAGCAAGCCGAGCGTGTTGGTGCTCTCCTCAGGGCCCCTCCTGCCCGCCATTCCCCTCTGGCTGGTCCCCAGCACCCCTTCTCCACAGGTGACCTTGCTCGAGTGGCTTGCACACTCCCCTCCATCCGCTCTGGAGCCCCCACTTGCACCTGCCTGGCTCAGCAGCGGAGCGCAGCCAAGTCTCAGCAACACCACTGGATCCCCCCACTGGGCCCTTCCTTTCCTGCCTCCACCACCATCTCTGCACCCGTGGAAGCATTTCCTGCAGTCAAAGAGCCCCTGAACTTGCCAGAGCAGCAGGCAGTTTCTTCCAGTCACCTCACTGCTGCCTGCAGCCATCAGCCTTTCCTTCTGCCCGCCTGCTCCCCCTCCTCTGCTTTGCAGGCCCCCACTCAAAAGGTCAGTGGTGCTTCCTGGACCAAACAGGACTCGAGCAAATGATGTGCTATTACATGGTGCTCCTGTCGCACTGGGACTCTCTAAGGGGGGCAGGAACACTGGGATTCGCCGTCTGCACAGCCTCGTGGCAGCAGCCCTTCACCTGCCATGGGTGGAAAAACTGGGTGGGTAGGGGAAGGCCGCATCCAAAGCACAGTTGCGCACACTGGGGAAATGCGCTCCTTCAAGGACGGCATGCAGAAATCGTGCCACTGGAGAAAAGCGGCCACAGAAAAACCTTCTGCGGAGAAGCAAAGCAGGGAAGGAACTCAGGTAGCAGGGGAGGGGGGGTCCTCACAAGGACAGAGAGGCGTGTGGGCAGCGCATTGCAACTGGCTGCTAGGCGGGGTTGGGGATGGAAGGCGGGCTTGCACAGGTGCCACAGGTGATCGGTGGCCAGGTGGACCTGGGGAAACAACTTTGCTGGGGGGATAGGAGAGACGGTGTGGGGGGGGTTGCTGCGTGACTCTCCTTGAGGCAGGAGGATGCAGTGTCTGGTCTGGATGACACATTAGACCACCGCCCCCACAAGAAGCCATGGCTTGCTGGGAAGCATACCCACGAGTGGAGCATGCCGGGTTGGAGTAAGCGATCTCAAAGGCTCTCGCACCAGCACCGCAGTGCGCATTTCGTGACGTGTACGTAGCTGCCCAGGTGAGCCGGGAGAGAGCCCCGTGGGTGCAGGAAACTTTCCTCAGGCACAAGGCCCCCGCATTTTGCGGCAAAGACAGGATGGACTCGGAGGTCTCAAGGAGACCTCTGCAAGGTGGTGGGCTGCGACGCGCAAGCGGTCCTCTGAGTCCTTCCCCCGGCTGTTCAACCGCACTGTGGAGCAGGAGGGGCAGCTAGGAAGAGCGGCCCCCAAGGCCCGCATCACAAGGCGCACAGCCCGAGCATGGATGCGGCCCATGTGGCAAGCTCAGTCCCCAGGAGGAGGCAGAGCCCTGCTCTGTCTTCCAGTCACCAGCCAGACTGGCTCATTCCGTGGGCCGGGCAACAGGGGACGATGGGTCCGGCACCCCGTGGCTCTCCCTGCTGCAGAGGCTCACGCAGCCTGGCTCGCCACGAGGGAAGCCCTCCCTGCGCAGCCGTTTGACGTTTGCACTCCTCTTGAGAGGATGTTTTCGACAGTGGCACTGGACCTGCCTCCCCCAACCCGGGGCCCTCCAGAGACGCCCGAGGACAACGCCCAGACCCCCCAGCCACCCTAGCCGGAGTGCTGAGGCGTGCACTCACTCTGCCACGTAAGCAGGTCAGGCAGGCCCCCTGCAGGTGAGACCCACATGCAAATTCTGCGGTCTTGGAAGGGACATTCTGGGCCAGGAAATGCCCCAGGTTGTGGTACTGGAAAAGGAAGAACCGCAATTCACAGCAGGATGCTTCCTACCTTGTAGATTTTTCCTTCCTCCGTTCCCACAAGAAACAAATAATCAATCTTCTTGTGGAAGTCAAATGCAGTTCCACAGCCTGTTTGAAAAAGAGAGGAAGGTGAACAGAAAGCGGAGAGGTGTGTGGGCAGAAAACTCTCTTTGCTATGTCCAGGTTCATACTGCTGGGCTCCATTTCCCCTGGAAGGACTCTGTTCAACCCACTATTTAATCCCCTTACATATTGGTTTGCATATCAGTCATTTAAATGGGGCAGGAAACAGTCACAACTGATTTGAGCTGCTCTGCCTAGGAGTCACCCAGAGGGCCTGTGGGTCCTGAGCTAGGAGAAAGCTGGGCTGCCTGGATCCATCTGTGGGGGGAAGAGGGCTTGCCAAGAGCAGCCCGGGACTGTTGGATGCCAAGATGCTGTGATCATTCTGCCGTGGAACCGCAGACCTGTAGACAATTGCCAATCGCATAAAGACATCATTACGTCTTTAATAATCCCTTTCCACCAGAGGAAATTGTTCGGAGGAACACCCTGACCAAAGGAAAGAACGCCAAACGGAGCTTTTGCCAAAGCAGATGGTTTTAAGGGTGAGCGAGAGGGGCTCCTTCAGGGGCTCTGACTGGTGGGGAGCTGGCTCTTAGCGCTTCCATGAAAGAAGCCCAGGATGATTAAGAGCAGAACCTGCCGGGCTGGACCAAGGGCCCATCTGGCCCAGCATCCTGTTCACAGTGGCCAGCCGGCTGTGGCCCAGCCCAGGTGTGCAGAGGCATGATGCCTCCCATACGGCAGGTGATATATGGCCGTTGAGACTAGGCATGGCCAGGGACAACCTCACCTGCATGGATCCGACTGAACCCATGGCATAACCACCCACGTCAGCGGCTATCACCACATCCCATGCCAGCAAATTGCACAGGTTAAATGTGGAATCTGCACATGGCATGTGGAAGTCTTCATTTTTCTCCACTCCGAATCTTCACTCGGACCAAATGAAGCCTCGCCATCTATTCCTGACAGCATCCCACTCGACGCCTCCCCTGCTTCTGTCTGAAAGCATCATGGCCCATCGCGCTTACTCCCAGCTAAGTCTGCCTGGCTCTGCCACCCTCCATGCCAGCAACCAGGGGATGGGGTGGGGGTGGGGGGAGAGGAAGACCACACGTACCGATGGTGTGCAGCTGCAGCCCCTCCGGGCCCTCCTCCGTGGTGCCTTCTACAAGCAGCTTGATGACATCTGTATGAACCAGCTCGTTCTGTTGGGGAGAGCAGAGATCAGAGGCACTGCTCATATCCTTGCAACAACGGGGCGCTGCTTTGAAACAGAACTTTTTGTTGAGGGATTTAGAAGAAAAGCGAGAATCAAACTGCTGAATGTTTCATGACTGTGGCAGACCGTTTGCGGGAGCTGTGTGTTAATGAGAATTCTGCCTGGCCAACGTGCTCTGTTGTGTCCTATTATAAGAACATCCAAGTTATTCACGGCTCTGAGCTGTGCCGTCTGTCTGCGGACCACCGTGCGCATTTCCCCCCTGCAAAGAAACAGGAAACGTGCCTTTCTTCCGTCATTGGTATGGTGGTCAGGTAGCCAATGCTCACGACAGCTGCACAACCCATATTGCTTGGGGCAGCAAACACAGTCCCGACTGTCTCTTCCCCATGAAACCCCTACAGCTTAGGGTGTGGTCCTATGAAGGTAGAGACGGAAACATGTTCAACAACTTCCAGCTCCGTCTATGGGAGTGTGGACTATTATTATTATTATTATTATTATTATTATTATTATTATTACATTTCTTTTGACAGCCACCACAACTCAGGTTCCTTTTAAACCCAAGTTTCTGACAGGGTGAATTAGGGGGCGGGGTGTGTGTGTTGTGTAGTTTTGTTTTCGTGCGTAGTTTGTTATTGTTGTTCAGCTGTTCAGTCGTGTCTGGCTATAAGCGATCCCATGGGCCAAATCTCACCGCACGTTCCGATCCCGTGCCACCTCCTTCAGCTGAACGATGCTCTGGCCACATCCTCTTCGGTGGAGTCCAACTACCTTGCTCTTTGGCGACCTGGTTTTCTCTTGCTACTCCCTCTGTGTTGTCATTACACGGCTTCAAATCATGACCCTATGAACGAGGGGTCCCAGAATGTCCTGGCCATGACAACCTGGCTCAGCTTTTGTAAACTCGAGCCTGTGGCGCCTTGTATGGAATCAGTCCATCTCATGTTTGGTCTTCATGAGTTGGGTATGACATGAGCGGGGCTGGCTGGAGACAGGGATGGACCAGGAGGCCCCTTCTGACTCACTATATTTCCTGTTTCCTTTTCTTCTTCCGCCTTCAACTTTCCCTAGCATGATTGTTGTCTCCAGTCAGTCTGGCCTTCTCATGATCAGCCTGAAGTATGAGAGCTTCAGGTTGGTCATTTCTGCTTTCAAGAAGAGTCCTGGCTTGATTTAATATTGGACCCCCTGGTTTGACTTCCTGTCAAACAAGGCTATTTGTAAAACTCTCCTCCAGCACGATGCTTTGAACGCATGTATTTTCTTCCCGTCCGCTTTCTTTACTAGGTAGCTTTCACACCCGTACATGGAGACCAGGAATACAAGAATGTGGATGATCTTGGCTCTGTTCTCCAGTGAAATGACCTTACAATTGATTATCTTTCCTAGTTTCTTCATTGCTTCCCTTCCAAGTATCAGCCTTCTTTGAATTTCTTGGGTGTCGCCTCCCTTTGAATTGATGACTCAGCCAAGTGATACAGAATATTTCACAATGCCAATGTCTTCATTGTTGACCTTAAAGTTAGATAATTCTTCATTATTATTTCATTTCAGTAATCGTTACTTCACTTTCATTCGCAGCCATTGCAATCCATTGCTGCTTTCTGCCAGTAATGTGGTATCATCTGCATATCTTGAAATGTTGCTGTGCAATTTTCATCCCTTCTTCTGGCCCTAGTCTAGCTCTCCTTACAATCTGTTCTGCATACAGGTTGAACAGATGGGGGGGAGCCTCGTCTAATGCTTTGCCTATGGGACCACCGTTCCGCTTCTCCGTATCTTCTCCTAGCACTAACTTTTCATCCGTGATACTGGTTGTGTGTCAGGATGATCACGCGCTGAGGCACACCCAAGTCTTTCAGGACCTTCCGTGGCTTCTTGTGAGCCACTCAGTCAAAGGCTTTGCTGTAGTGCATGAAGCACGGGCTGATCCTCTTCTGAAATTTATTTTATGGCACCCCGTCAGCAGGCACTGTATATTTGCAGCAAGATCTCAAGTGCCTCTTCCCTTTTGGACTCTACCTTGAGCGTCAGGCACTGAGCACTCCGTGCAGGGTAACATTCTGCGTTGCAGCCCTTGAGCCCCGCAGTGTTTGCCTGGCACACGTGTGGGTAAGCCTGGTCACAGAGCCCCAGGAAGCCCGTCAAAGAGCCTTGTTGGGGAGGAAATAAAGATCAAAATAAAGATCGCTTGTGGCTTTGCTTCCCCCTGACAGCTCGCCTTTTGTCAGGGAAAAGCAAAGAAAATCATACCCCCCCCCCCCACGGGGCCCTGCCCACAGTGGGCCTGCTGAGGCACCTCCACGCTGGGCAGCCCCCGGTCACTGCCCAGCCAGGCCAGCCCACCGCGGATCAAGCCAGCGAGCCCCCGCACGGACCCAACAGTATCTCAAATGTGGAAAACGTGCACATTCCCTGTGCCGAACCATCTGAAACGGGAGGCAAACCGCTGGCAACTGCTCCACTGTGCCGCTGGAGGGGCTGCCACAGGCTGCTAGCCACGTGGAGACCCTGAAGAGCAACCTCAGAAAAACAGGCGGAGCGGGGAGGAAAAGCAGCTGCAGGGAGCCAAAAGGGCTCCGGGTCACGGTGGGGAGAGAGGACCTGCTCGCTTGGGCTGCCAAGTCCCCCGAGATTCCGAGCGGGAGGGGCGGGAGGCTGGGAGGCAGCACACAATGGCCCGACTCGCTGTCAGTCAGCGAACAGCTGCCCCCATGGGCTATCCGCAGAGTCTGTTAGCAACTCCTGCGAACCACCTCCTGAGTCGCGGAAGAGAAGGGGAGAAGGCGCAAGCCTTTTTACCCCATGAGGGCTCTGCAGTCACGAAACAAGTGCTCAGAGCAGACTTCCTTAGATGGCCATCTCGCACGTCCTCGTTCGGGGGCTCTGTGTGAGCTTGTCCACCCAGGCACGGCGACGGGCTGAACGGACGTCGGTGCAAGTCCGTCACGGCTGCCCTGTTGCTGTGCTTTGAAAGGTCTTCCTCTCCTCTAACTAGAGTGAATGGCAGAACGCAGCTTAACAGCCTCTGTTCACGCCCCACAAGCAGCTCCCAACAAAGCCGGCTGAAGAGCCGAGACGTCGCACCACAGTAACAAAGCCCTCCGAGATCTCTATTTTTGGAATCCTCTTCAAGAATCCGACTGCACAATGGGGGCTTGGAAGGAAGAGGGGCTTTTGTGCCATTCAAAAGAAGAACGAGCAAAGTGGAGGCAGGGGGCAGCGGGGGGGGGGCGTGCAAGTGTCTTCGGGGGGCTGCAGGGCAGCCACAGGCGGCCGCTTGGGTCCGGCTGAGCTGTTCGTCATGGCAGACTCTGTGCAGACTCTTGTGAAGACAGGGCGGAGCAGCCCACATCAAGCGCCCCGAAGCTCATCTGGAGAAGCTGCGTGTGGGGCCAGATCCGGGAACGATGGCTGACACTGCTGTGGGTCCAAGGCAGGCAAGCTGCTTCCTTTGGCCCCAGAGGCCACGGCTGGATGGGCAAGCAAGGAGCACGAGGCCTGCCTGGAAAGAGCACGGTGGCCCAATGTGGCTCAAGTCCCTTAAGGCAGAAAGGAGTTGCCGGTGGGCCTGAGAGAGTTCAGCCGCTCTTGCAGCCTGTGAGCCGGGAGGAGGGTGAGGAGAGACGGCTGCTGTGCAAATCCCGGAGGAGAGCAAGGTGCCAGTGAGTTGCTCTCCACAGCTGACAACAAGTTTCTCCATGTCCCCAAGAAGGTCAGGTCTTTTGTAGGGAAAACAGGGAGTTAATTCATGGCACCATCATCCCCTGCTGATTCAGAAGTCAGTTTCAGGGACGCTTACTCCCAGGCGTTGCTACCTAAACGGTACCTGCAGGTAGGCCTCATGGGGAGACCTAATTTACTGATTTGTCAGCTAGATTTATAAATCACACCCCCCTCCTTCCAGTGCGTTTAATCTGGAATGATGTACGCAAACACACAGACCTCACACCGGCCCCAAGGAACCTTGCAACACAGCAGTGTGTGGAAAAACCAAAGGAGGACTGATGCTTCTGCAAGGGGCTGCATATGGAATAGGAGGAATAACAAGAAGAAACACAGAAACAGAGCGAGTCAGGAGGGGCCTCCCAGGCCATCTAGTCTGACCCCCGGCTCCAGCCGGCTCCGCTCAAGACATGCCCACCGTGTGCATGGTGGGCATGAAGATGCTCCCCGGAGAGCTCCCCTTTGGACTGATGCAGCAACTGCACGCGGCTGGCCCAGGGTACAGGTCTGTGGGGGTGCTCTGCACCCTTCCGGGCTCAGTGGGTGGCAGGCATCCTGTGCAGGGCAGGAGCAGCTCAGAAGCGAAGGCCACCTGAGCGCCCCTCTCACCCAGCAGAGTGGTTGGAGCGCTGAGTTCAGCTGCCTACCTGCCACGCCGCAGGCAGGAGGGAAGGGGGCTGAGGCTCTGCACAGACATGGGCATCTCTCGCTGCCTCAGAGGAGCGGCCAGCGTGGTTTATTATTTTTCCCCTTGGCACAGAAAGGGCACTCTGAGTGCAGAGCCCCAGCTCCCAGTTCCACGCTGCTTTCCAGGTCAGAGCTGGGACCCTAAAAAGTCTTACGTCCCTCTGTCAGAGGGCTGCTCAGTTTCTCTGCCTGTGCCCCTGGAGCCCAGTGCAACGCAGCTCTCGAGAGGGAGGAGGTTACCTTAACCAGCGTCCAGGAGACAATGCGCCCATCGGAGGAGACAGAGAAGAAGTTCAGGTTATTGTCCATGTCATCTTTCTGCCACTTGACCTGTCCAGAAAGAGAAGCAGAGAGTGGATACAAAGACTCTCTAGCAACCTGGCTGATTCCAAGGTTAAAAAATGTGTCTCATGGCACCTTGAGCTCAACAAAATTAAATTAACGGGTGGCATCAACCTTCGCGGGCGACAATCGACATCACCAGAGACTGCCTGGGTTCACAGAACGCAAGAACCCATCATGGGTGGCCAGCCAGGATGGTTTGCCGCGTCCCATGACCCAAGTCGGACTCCTTCAGGGGTTGCTGTACGAGCAATGGGGTGCCGATGCCATCCCAGCCCTCTGGGCATTCGGGGATCTCCGAAAACCAGCACTCCATCCACACCGGTCCTTGAGAGCATAGCTGGGTTGCCCCCAAAGTCCTCCTAAATAATGAAAGTACTCGGAGACCAGAAAAAAATGTTGCATTATGTGCACCAGAACATTAGCAGCCCTTTATTGGAATAATCTGTTCTCATAACTTGTAATGAATTAGATTATCTGAATTAAGTTAAAAAAGACAGACAGACAGACTGACTGACTGACTGACTGACTGACTGACTGACTGCATTTTAATGTGAAAAAGGGAGTTGTTCCTTGACACAAAGAAAAGTTGGCAGACAGCTCGGTATCTTTCCTCCGAGCCGCTTCAGAATCCCAAGTAACCAAGATTTTGAACTATGGTGGATGTCACCTTGGTTGCATCGCTGTTGAAGCTGTCTGGGAAGCTGAAACAATCAAAACCTTTGATGGACTGTACAATATAAAAACCATACACCTGCAAACATATCAACATACAACGCTGGGAGGCACGTGTAGAGCTAAAAGTAACTTTAAACAATCAACAAGAAATGTTGGATACCTGATTAAAACCTTGTGCTATTCTACCCAAAGCAAACCAGAGAAGGGAGGATACACTCCATTTTAATCCTCCAGGCAGGTCTTTGGGATCTGCCAGTTCAGCAGAGGAGATGAGGATGAGGATGAACACCTGGAGGCTGGCAAGACAAACCCCAGCTTGAATCAAAAGAGTAAAGGATGACCCGCCACAGGAACTGAGCCCGTGTGTCTCCCAACGTGTCCACCAGCCGGGCTGGCCACACGCTGATCCTGCAAAGGAGCAGTGGCATCCGTCCCGATTGAAGGGCTGTGCCCTTTATAGACAGTTCCCGCTACTTCATCTTTTTAGTCCCGTCGGTGCCGATGTGCTCATCTGCTGGACGGCTAATGCGAGGATGTCAAGCTGCAGCTCGGGGTGGTGCGTGGGGATGTCCAGGGCCGGAAGGTGGTGGGAGACTGTGCTAGGCACTGCACAGCAGAAGCTGGGAAATCAGTCCCCCACGCCTGCAAAGGATCTTAGCAAAAAAAGGGGTGTCTGGGGGATTCCACCCTCTTCTCAGCAATATCCTGCACCTTTCCCATTCCTTGCCACCCTAAGTCCACACTGGGGAGCCCCCCCTGCACCTTTTCTGAGCCCCCTTGACAAGGGCTTGGGGAAGTGTAAGAGTGAGCCCCTGCTCCTTTTTCCAAGTCTGACAGCTCTGGGCAAAATCTGGGGTCCCTTAACATGTGTTGGGGCAGTGGGGGGGTTGATTGGTCTGAATCCCTGAGATTTCCTTCAAATCTCCCATTAGACATAGCACTTGCTTCTCCATGAAAAATGTGGGTGCTCTTCCCAAGCCCCTAGAGCAGGGGTCCTCAAACTTTTTGAATAGAGGGCCAGTTGAAAGGCTGGGCCGAAGAGGTGGGGATGCCTGGGGGTGTGGGCTGGTGAGGTGCCGCTGGGCGTGCGCAAGGCGGCATTGGGCCCGCGTGGCGGTGGCTTGCTTGCTCAGAGATCTCCCAGCGAGTCCAAAACCATCTCCGAGCGAGCAAGCCACCACCTCCCCACCTGCGCAGCAAGCATGCGTGGGCCATATGGATGGCCAGGACGGGCTGGATCCATCCCGTGGGCCATCGTTTGAGGACCCATGCCCTAGAGGGTCAGGGCAAAGGCCAAACATTCCTCCCCAGAGTGGACTCAAGTGAGGGTGCAGGAGGAAAGGGGGTTTGTGGAGAAAGGGGTGTGAATCCCCCAAAGCCCCTTCTCACACTAGGCCACACGGAGCCCAAATCAGCTCGCAAGGAGGACGCTGGTGCCGCATTCCCCCGAGTGCTGCTTGGAATGGCTGGCACTGGCAGGGCTACCTCTAAGGAGGGCGAGGGGCTGCTTGCTCCCCTGCCAAGTGAGCTGCTGCCTGTGGGACCCACAGTGGGATCGGCACCAGGTGCGGATGGCACGATGAGCCACCGTGAGTGGAACAACCCAGGAACAGCCTGTGGTTCTCTGACAAAGGGAACCCACCCTGGGCCACGAGGGCGGCGTTTGCGTGACAGGACAGCCAGGCATTGGCCGCTGTTATTACCTGATTCGCACATGCTGAAGCAAGGTCTCCAAACAGCGACTGATCTGTCGTGAGGTGCAGCTCTCCTCCCAAGTAAACGCACTTCTCCCAAGCTGCTTTCCCAGAAGACTTTGTTGTCCCGTATCTCTGAGCTGCCCCAAAGTGGCATGTTGAGCCCTCTCCAACGCCTCTCAGTCTCCAACTTCTGTATGCCCCTTCTGCCCGTACACCCCAGCAGGAGGAGCGTGCCGAAACCTGCCCTCCGGCTCTTTCCCTGTTTCTCAGTTAGCTGCATTCCCCACCTGTGAGGTCTCCTAGCAATCGGCATCACCCCTGACGGGGAGGCACGTCTGTGTCAGACAGACTGCTCGGCTCCTGCTGGGAGAACTGCCCTGTCCCCGACTCCTCTCCTCTCCGGGGCTCTCATCGGACCCGGCCGTCAGCCCCCCACCCCCCGTTCTGCTATCTCCATCTCCACTCCTTGCTCACCAGGCATTCCTGACCTTGCTCTGATACTGGAGCTTGGTGAGAGTCCACAACAGCCTCAGGTTCACTGTCTGAACTTGAGTTCCCATCACAGCGATCACCCGGTCATGCGTGTTCCGGCACCTTTGCCCCGTGCCCACGCATGACATCATCTGCTGCCACAGCACTCTTTGGAAGGCGAAGGACGGAGGGGAACGAGTTGGGCAGTCTCGGATCACCTGCCTGGCGCTGCCCAGGCTCGGCGCTGCCCAGGCTGGCTCTGGCTGCGTGGGAGGCAGCCATCCCCTTGGAGGACACGTCACGAGGCCTCCAAAGAAGCCGAACAGACCCTCCGTGGCTGAAGTGCAGGCGTTTGTAAGACGAGGAAGGAATGGGGCCCAAACTAACATCTCGAGCTGGAAGAAGAATCCAGAAAAGGTGCTTCTGCCTGGCTCCTGGGGACTTTACTCCAGTTTATCCAAAGTCTGGAACAGGGGACAGAATGCAGGATGTGCTGGAACTCCCGGGAGACACACGCACTGCTTCCTTTACCCAGCTCCGTGCTTTCACGAGGAGCATGACTTCTGCTTTCAAATTCAGCTCCATCTGCTTCCAACCACACCGTGATCAGTTTGTTGGTTTGTTTTATATCCCACCTTTTTTCCTTCCAAAGCTCTCGGACCAGTCCTCCCGCTCCTCCTCAACCTTATCCTCACAACAACAGCCCTGTGTGGCAGGCTGTGCCGAGAGTCTGCCACTGGCCCCAGGCCAGCCAGCGCGCCGCCTGGCCCAGTGGGGACCGAAGCCAGTTTTTCTGCGTCCTGGTCCCGCACTCCTAGCCGCTACACCACACTGACTCTCAGTCATGGTGACCGAGCAGCCGCCAGCGCATTTCTTGCACACAATGAATTGGACTTGGGCTGTGAATAAGGCTTGATCGAATGATATGGCTAAATAACTGCAGTTTATATTAGAAAGAAATTCAGAATACAGCCAGTGTTGTTGTTTCCAAAGCTATCAGGGCCTCCTTTGAAATGCAAATGTTGGCGTTCTGCCACTTATCTGAAGATAAAGAAAGGATAGGCAGTGTGTTTTCCCAGGGCTGTTGCTCTATGGCAAAGTGATGATGAATCTGTGGGCATTTCAACAGAAAAAACAGCCTCCCGCATGCCTGACGTCCTTTAGGCAATGCTTTCCCCTCTGCCTGATGAGCCGGTATTATTCAGATTGTGCGGGGTAGAACAGGGTCTTGCGCAAGGGGTGTTCCGAGATCTGGGGCGGGTGTGTGGGGGAGAAAGGAGGCCACTACTCGCTCTCCTATTCCCTTGAAGCCCATGTGGTGTGGGTCCAGTCTGCACGTGGGCCAAGAAACCCTCTGGGTGCCTTTTGGTAGGCACGCTCGCTCGGCACAGCTGCGGACGGTGCCCTGAATAATTGCCGCCTTGGTTTTCGCTGAAGTTCAGCGAGGTGGTGCTTCTGGATGAGAGTCGCGGGGACTGCCAGTGCGGAATGTGTGATTTGTCCGACGCACCAATATGGTTTCCAATGCCTTCCTTTTAAACTGGTGTGCTCCTTATTGCCACACTGTAACACAGGTGGAGAAAAGCTCGTGCCACCTCTGACTGGATGCGGTTAGAGCTCATTATGAAGTTTATCTTGTGGCACTGGGGGTTCGGGGGGGGGGGGTCTTTCCACTGCAATGTTAGACTCGTATTTTATCATCTGCACAGGCTGCCAGTCCCTATCTGGGCCCGATTCAAAATGACACTAACATCCCAAGTCCTCAACAGCTCGGTGCCTGAAGGATCGCCAAATCACCTGCAGAGGTCCTCCTATGGATGCCCCTGCCAAGGCGAGTCAGGCGAGTGGCCACGAAGTCAAAAGGCCTTTTCTGTCCTGGCACCCTGGCTATGGGATGAGCTCCCGAGAGAGGCTCGCCTGGAACCCCCACTGCCCTCCTTCTGGGGCCAGGGGAAGGCCTTCCTAGTTTCCCAGGAATTTTCCTTGGACTTTTAGTTTCGGTTTCGTTGTGTGATTTTTAAACTCTTGCACTGCTGCCATGTCTTATCTAGCTTTTACTTCTACTTTATTGTTTTGACCATTTAAAATTGTATATATTTCGTGCTTTTAAGATTCTTTTTAAATTGCTGTGAATTGTCCAATCCACTTTGGTTATCAAGTGGTATAAAAATGCTACAAACAAATAAATAAATAACATCAGACCCTGGGAACTCAGCCCAATCAACCGAGCTTTTCTGATTGCACATCACAGCGATGCTCATGAAGCACAGTTAAGGAACAAGTAAGCCACTGTTTCGCTGCAGTTCTCAACCCTGTGATTTCTTGTGAAAAGTAATGAAGTCAACGAGGAGGCGGAGACATTCTGGCTCTTACTTGAGCAGACAGAACTTTTCAGCAATGTGTGGCCTCTGCTTCTTTCCACGTCCCATCCCAAGCAAACCGGACTGAAGCACGGCCTGCTCGGATCCCACCCGTGGCACGGCACTGCTGCGACTGCTGCAGGGGAAGGTGGCCAGGCCTCGGAGGAGGGGCTGCACCATACCAAGCAGACCCTTTTGAGAAAAGGACCATCAGGAACAGGGGATACATCCGAAGGAAGGAGGCGGAGGGAGAGAGGGCTCAATATCTCACCGCTGGGATGGTGCAGGCATACCGGTCAATGCCGCTCAGGCATATTTTAAGTGGGGGCACCTTCTTGAGGCACCCCAGTTTCTGTGGGGATCTGGCCAGCTGCATTTCAGGACTGTAAAAGGAAAGGCAGTTCTGGGGGAGAAAGGGGAGCAGCAGCACAGCACTCACCTGCCAGACCGGGTCCGTGTGCTTGCCGGACTTGGCTGTGCTCTTGTAGCCGGGCTGAGTGCTGACGGGCTTCTTCAGGTTGTAGATCGCCACGTTGCCATCGTAGAAACCCACAACGATCAAGTAGGGGTGGTCCACGTGGACGTCCACACACATGATGCCGCTCTCGCTGTTGAAGATGTACTCTGGAAAGGAGGGGTTCTTCAAGGAGTACAGGAGCAGCATCCCTCGGCTCTGCTTCACAAAGTCATCTGCGCAAGGAAAAAGATCTCATTCAAACCCGAGCCGGGGGGAAGACCCCTCTTCCGAGAAGCCGTCGTGGCTGGGGGTGAATCTTAATGATCCAGTTCTGCCACCTAGGATTAAGTTTGCTTATAAGTTTAATGAATGGATCCCACTTGGACATTGTGTCCTCTGCCTACCAGGCACTCAGGGAAATGTATGATTTCTGCAAAGGGCAGAAACAAGGGACACAGGGAGCAAGAACCCTTCAGCTAAATTGGAAAGTGGCATTATGGTTAAAAGAACAGTTATCAAAAATCAAAAATCCACCAAAACAGAACGGTCTTTATCGCCTACCTAAAGCATAGTAGTGAAGGAGGCAATGCCATGATCAGGGTGCCGCTGCTGAAAAGGCCCTGCTCCAAATACCACTGACACACCTGCACTAGGTGAATGTGCCACCCAGCTGAACCTTCAGTGATGATTACAGGCAGATTCATAAAGGAGGGGCAAGGTGCCCAGGCAGCCTTTCAGGGCTTTGCAGGTCAAAACCGGAACCGGACATTGGTACTGTTGATGCAGGATCAGGACTGTGTGGCCCACAAAGTCCTCTCTGGACCAAAGCCTGACAGCCACATTTTGCACTAGCTGCCCTCTCTGGATGTCTCCACTGCAGTGCCCGTTACGGCCGTCTGAACAGCAACACGTGAAGGCCTGAATCACTGCTGCAGGGAGGGCCTGAGTCCCAGAGCAGGATGCCTCCAGACTGGCAGGGCCTTCATCTTATCTGGACCGAGACTCACCTCGCTCACCAGCATCCAGCCCTTCGCTACAACCAGGCGATGGACGCAGGCGCGACAGCGTCAGGGGTCCTCAGCACAACGACAGGTAATCGACTGGACAAGAGGGGACCCAATAGAAAGCCAAGATACATGTGTGGAAAGCTAGTCTGGTATCCGTAATGTCGCATGAGGGCTCTGGGTCTGTGAGTCGTCTTCCTCCTTGCGTTTAGGAAGTTTCCTAGGACTTTCTAAACCCTGTGCAGACACTGAAGGATAAGTCAGTCCTCTCCTTAGGGCTGGACACGGTGCATGGGGATATAGGAGCATTAGCCAAAAGGAGGAGCAGAAAGGGAAGTGGAAAGCCAGGAAATCCAGATGCCATCTCCTGGAGCTGGCCAGGTGAGCCTCCTACACAGCCCTTCATCCCCTGGTGGAAGGGAGAGGCAAGTGAGCATGTCCTTCCTGCCTGCAGTCCCAAGATAACCTGCAACTGGGGCCAGGCAGTTATTATGGCAAAGGAAGAGGAACAAGAGCGCCATGCAGCCGCTTCTCTGGCTGCCAGAGGTGTTCATCCTGGAGTCAGGGATTCACGCTGTCAGTGGCCAGCGGCCGCTGCAGTTCGGCTGTCTTGGGATGCCAGAGCTCTGCATGGAAGCAGCCAAATCTCTCCAACCATCTTGGGAGGGCTTCTTCCTTGAAAAACGTTGAAGTATTTTAAATAGAATGAGAATGACGGCTCTCTGAATACTCTGACTGCCACGTTCCTGCCACACATACCTCTCCTGTGGGTTGATGTTTCCTGATAAAAAACTGATCCCTCTTGAACCTGACTTGAAGTACATTACACTGCTGCCCCCCCCCATCATTTCCACTCCTTTCTGCATTTAAGTGAAAATCTCCACGGCTCAACGTAACAGCAAAGGTGTTGGTTAAGATAAGGATACCAGGGGCAAAGGCTGAGGTTTGCTCAACTGAGTTGCCAAAATGTGGTTCCCGAAGGCTGGAAAGTCAGCTTGGAAACTTCACGTATGAAGCATCTTCTAGTCCTGCCACTCAAAAATCTCATTCATTCCTTCAAGGATATTTCTCCACTTCCAAGCACGCTCCACGTGCCCCAAGATTGTGAAAGCAAGTCCTGTTCCAAAGGCATCCCCAGCTCCCTAGATCTACGTTTTGATCAATGCTGTAAGATACAAGATGATTGGGCACGTCCTCTGTGCTCACGTGGCTGGTTGCCCTGCGCACGAGGCCCCAGAATGACCCTCCAGGGAGTGGCAAGGGATAGGCACTGGCCTAAGACCTCACGTTCTGGCTCAGCTGGGCCAGAACAGGCACGTGGGGGGGGGGGCTGCTGGGACTCACCCCCCTGGCTGTAACCGCTCTCCTTTTCTGTTTTAAAAAACACAGTTTGCAATCACAGGTTGGGGTGGTATGCACATGGTTTCAAATTTGATATTTTGACTTTTCACCTTTAAGTATGTTTTATCCTTCTATCTGAAAATAAAAGTATTTTTGCTGAAGGAAAGATGACACATTGCCAAAGTTTTAAAAACCCCTATACATTTCACTATCTGTACATGCACCGGAGCAGCAAACCGAAACTCCATTGCATGACTGGAGCCATAAGGGTGCCAGGAGTCAAGTGACTGTCCGGGGCCAGAGGCAGTGTGCCTGTGCGCACTGCAGCTGGGGGCATGGGCGGGCGGGAGGGAGGCTGCTGGGGCACTCAGGTCTGGCTTGTGGGTTCCTGCGGGCAGCTGGTGGGCCCTCCATGAACAGAATCCTGGACCGGATGAAGCTTGGGCTGAGCCAGCACGGCTCTTCTTCAAATGCTAGCAGAGCGCCTATGTTTTAATCAAGGTCCCCACCCCCCACCCTCCACACCTCACTAAGCTATCAGGAATGTAGAGGCAGTTGCAAAGGTGGAGCAGCGGGGCAAGGAGCAAAGGGCTCCTTAGAACCATAGCATCATATGATGGTAGAGCTGGAAGGGGCCATGAACGCCATCCAGTCCACCCCCTGCCGTTGCAGCAGACCAGGTTATGTCACCCACTCAGATGGCTGCCCAGTTTCTCCTTGAATGTCTCCAGCGTGGGAGAGCCCTCCGCCTCTCCAGGCAGCTGGTTCCACAGTCGCATTGTTCTGACAGTGAGGAAGCTCTTCCTGATGCCCAGGCTGAATCTGGGTTGTTGCAACGTGCCTTGATTATTCCGTGTCCTGCACTCTGACATTAACAAGAGGAGATCCTGACCTTCCCCTCTGGGGCAGCCTTCGAGGGACTTCCAGAGGGACACCATGTCCCCCCTCAGTCTTCTCTTCTCAAGGCTGAACATGCCCAGTTCTCTCAGTCTCACCTTTGGGCAGTCTCTCCTTTGGGCAATAGCACAAAGGCAGTTATTTATTTATTTATTTATTTATTTATTTATTTATTTATTAAAACATTTTTATGCCGCCCCATTCGCTGAAGCCTCGGGGCGGCTTACAAGTTACAGTCAAGGTTAATTCAACTTCTGTCCCATTCATTGAAGGAGCTAATTACAATCGGCCTAATACTACCATCAGTACGTTGGCAAGATAGCCAAAGCCTCCCCACCCACCATGGTAAAACCCTTCGGTCTGGGATCCGAAACTGCCTGGCCACAGCACTGGGGAGCTGCCCTGGGGAGGCAAGGAAACAAGCAAGGGACTCAGCCGTTCCCCCAGTTCCCATTGAGCCATCCCTGTAAAAAGGCGCTTGGTGCCTGCGTAAGGGAAGGAGAGCCGCTCCCTCCTCTGGTTCTCGGGGTTCTGAAACTTTGCTGGTGAGGAGAGCGATGTTGCGTGTCCCAGGCCAAAGCCCTTCCCCTTGCTCGCTTCTCACCGACCAGAGAACAGCAGCCTGCTGGCCGGACCACGAAGTCCCAGCATGCACCTCAGTGCTCGTGGATCCCGCCCGGGGAGGCCAAAGCGCACACGCATGGCACAGAAGCGGCAGTGGCCTCCCCACCAGCCTGCCCTGGAGAAACAGACTGCTGGGGACTTGCCCCACTGCCCCGCTCAGGAGGATCCAGCATCAGAGCACAAGGCTGCCAGGCACAGGGGGAACGGACAGGGAAACTGAGCATGCGGCTCCTGTGAAAGAGGCACGATGAAGAAAGGCATTGCCAAGATCATCCTGTCCTCCTGCAAAGCCACGGTGCAACCACACTTAGGATTCTGGGCCCAGTCCTGGTCACCAGACCTGCAGGAAGGTGTTGCAGAGTTGGGAAAAGTGCAGAAAGGAGGCTGGAAGAATCCGAGATGGTTTAGCTCAGGAAAACCACACGCCAGGGAAACATGAAAGAGTGTACAGAACTACGCGTGATGTGCAGCAATAAGGGAAGGAGCATTTTCCTCCTCTCACAGCGCTAGAACCCCATGAGGCTGATTAGTGGGAGCCTCCAGGCAGATAAAAGGAAGCACCTCTTCACGCTGTGGAATTCATTTCTACGCAACATCATAACAGGCACAATGTGGAGGGCTTTAAAAGGGGGCTGCACACACGCATGAAGGGGAAAGTGATGCAGGGCTGCTTGTCCTGCTGGCTCTGTGCCACGTCCCATCACAGAGGCAAGACGCCCATGCACAGCCAGTGTTGGGGGGCATGGACCAGAGGTGCTGTGGCACTCATGTCCTGCTTGTGGGACCCTGGGGGCACCTGGCTGGCCACAGCTGAACAGAATCCGGGGCGAGATGGGCCCAGGTCTCATCCAGCAGGGCGCTTCTTGCGTTTTAAGGAACATTTCCTCTGGCCACAGGGCACACCTTCCACATGTTGGTTCCCTAAACAAAGTGCTGAAATAGAACCAGCAGAATATCTGGCTGTGGAGATCATTTGCACCCCTCCCCATCTCATTCTCCAGGCCGCAGGCTCAGAATGGCCACCTGCTGCCCCACACCCACGCTGTCATCACTGGCTCACCTTCCTCCCAAGGAGCACTGCCGCTCCCTAAACACCTGGTGCCCCAGCCAGCCAGACTTTTCACTCAGGGCAAAAGATGTTCATGAGGCACAGCCTTACTGGCGGCCACTGGGGATTCTGTTCGGAAGGACCACCTTCCTCAGGCAGGGGGAGAGCAGCACAGGCTGGGGAGGGCCCAAACTGCAGTGGGGAGGGGTGCCACCAGCCCTGCTTGTCCACGAACTGCCCTCTGACACCTTGCTAGCCCTTCTGGGAGGCGGGGTGTCAGCCTCCAAGGGGTGCTCCCCATGCCCAGCATGCCAGTGAT